ACTCAGCGTTGCCAAATGCAAAACTCCTTCAGGCACGAGTGAAGGATCCTCAGCTGGATTTTTCCTTCAGGATGCGAAGGACATCAGTCCCTCAAATTAATGATTCCCTTTCCTAGAAACCTACACTTTGTTATATTTACAGGAGCTTAAAGTTCATGCACAGTCCTAAGACAGGCTAGAGAGCTCATGCTGAATTCTTTTATCGGTTTATGAGTTTTATAAGATGGTAAAAAATAGGCAGAGTTCATTTTATTTGCATCTAAGTCCTTTATAGACAAATTGTCATTTACCCACACAGCCATCCTAGTGAGCATGTACATGGCAGCAGACCACATCAGGACTTCTTGGATGTAGGCTTCAGCTGGACCAGGTCTCACAGCAGAAGTGCTGTTTCCAGTGCTGCATTTTTGTGTATAATTAACACGGCAACACAAACAGTGACGCTCCTGTGTGGTGAGTTTATCAGGCTAATCAGTTCAGACAAGAAAAGCAGAGCTCTGAAGGATGTAGCACAAATCCCTGAAGTATTGCTTCATAAAAACATCTTGAAGAAAGGGAAAGACGAAGATCATCTGTAGCACACTGAGATCTCAAGTCAAGTCCTAATCACCTTATTCAGGTGAAACAATTCTTCAGTTTCAGGTCTTATTCTTAGAGATGCTGGATGTAAGCTTCTTAGGGCTTACAAACCCTTAACTTTAACAGTTCGAACATGATGACTAGAAAGGCCAGTGATTAAGGTTATGTATATTAAAATTAAGAGCTACTGAAATGTGGAACATGTCAGGAATCACAAAAAAGAACAAATAAGGAATAAGTCACTCTAAAAGCAATTTCCAGTAGAAATTGAGGGTGAAAATGTAACATATTGCACTGTGAGTTTTGAAAAGTATAAATGATAACTGAAGTGAAGAAACACAAGTCTGTTGTGTTCTATGGATGTGTGAGGCCAATTCAGCTTTTCATTGTGTCCACAGATTACAGATGTCCCGGATTGGTTTTTTCTTTGTGGTCGTTTGTTTGCTTTGTTTATTCCAGAAGGTGCAAGGAGAGTTTAATAGCAATTTAAATCTCTTTTAGCCTGTCTATTCTTTGTACAGACTTTTCTATCCAAAGTTATCTATTGCAGCAATGGGCAGAAATTAGCATTTGTTGATAATGACTTAAAATGCCAGATCGATTATGCAAGAGTCTGAACTCATGGGCTACAATGTTTTAAACACCTTTCTACACTTACACTTCTAGGGAGAATTTACAGACTAAAGCAGCAATGCAATGCAAAAAACCCCCAAACCCAAAAAGCAAACAACCAAAAAAAACCACAACAAAAAACCCCCGCAAACAAACAAAAGACCCCCAACAACAACAAAACCCTCCTCCCCCAACTTTCTGGGCAAGATTTGGCCAATTTTTCCTTAAAAATCTTCAACAGCAAAGCCCTTCCCAATACGTATACAGCCCTGTATGGATTCTCTTTTTCTTGAAAAGGAGGCTCAGATGTGACCTTATCATTCTCTACAACTGCCTCAAAGGAGGTTGTAGCCAGGTAGAGGTCTTCCTCTTATCCCAGGCAACTAGTGACAGGACAAGAGGGCATAGCCTCAAGCTGCTCCACGGTATGTTCAGGTTGGACATCAGGAGGAATTTCTTCACTGAAAGGGTCATTAAACATTGGAATGGACTGCCCATGGTGGTGGTGGAGTCACCATCTCTGAAGGTGTTCAAGCAATGATTGGATGTGTCTCTTAGTGCCATGGTCTAGTTGACAAGGTGGCAATCAGTCAAAGATCAGACTCATTGATTTGAGAGTTCTTTCCCAACCTAAATGATTCTGTGATTCCCCCTCTTGGCCACTCAGAAAGGTTCTCCCAATGCCTAACCTGGATGAGCTTGCTGCTCAGCTATACACAAATTGAGGGCTACTGTACATACGTGTCTCTTAAATCCTGTCTATTTATGAGGGCAGACTGTTTGGGCTGCAGTAAAGTTAAGAAGAAGGGATACCTCGCAGGAAAGCCATTCCAATTCCTGTCTTAGTAGGCAACATCAAATCCTGAGTGAGCCTTTTCTCTTTCTCTCAAAAGAACGAAATGCAGTTTTGCCTCCGCTGCAGCTGTGGATCAACACTGACTACCCATGATGGTAACACATGATTATCAGCAGCCTTTGCTTCAGAAAGGGAGACAACTACAACCTATACTTCAAGGAAGGAGGAGATAAAGGTGTCTCTACCCTGCAAATCCAAGAACAAGACAAATACCCTCTGCCACATCAACCCAAGCTCCTCACAGCACAGTTGAGCACCAAGCAGAGACAGTCCTCAAACAGGATTCATGTGTTATCTGCATTCTGGGTGCAACCTAGCAAAGCCCTGGCTGGCAGCCTTCACTCACTGCTGTTTTGAAGTTCCTTGGCCTGTGCCACCATGGGACTTCCAGGCCCAGCTTATGTGCAGTGTGCCTGCTGGCACGCCAAAGGCTCCTGGATGCTGCCAGCTCGCTGTGCATGCCCCACACAGCACACGCAGGCTCCTGCCTGTCACTGAGAAATGCCTGGCAGGCCTCCAGGAGCCACTGCTTTCTGACTGTGAAGTGCTGGCAGGGCCTGACTATCATTATCAGAGCATTTCACCTCTTGCATTTCACTCTGCTCTTCTCAGAGAAAGAGAGGATGATTATCCATTCTCCTTCGGTTTTGTAAGAAGCCCAAAGCTTGCCAGGTGCTGAGTTAACACCCCCGAGGTGCTGCAAGCCCTTCATGAGGTGGCCAAAGGAGTATTTTACAAGTGACTCCTGGCTCTAATTCAGAAGTGGTTTCCTGCTCCTCCTGTTGGCTGCAGAAGCAACATCCAATGAAAGAGAGTTGCACACAGCTGATGGGACACTGCTGAACAGCAGTGTGGAGCAGGCTGGTGCAAGGGCTGAACCACAGCACACTAGTGCTTTGAAGAGGAACTTCCCTGGTGCTCTTCTAAAATGCAGTGGAAATGCACCTGGGTTTTTTTTGTAGCACATGAAGAGTGTTTTCTTCTCTTTGTTCTAACCCATCAATAGGACATTAAAAGAATGATGCTAAAAATATCCAACTTCTAGTCAAAAGGAAGGCTTTATGAGAAGGAAAACCATTACCAAGAAGCCGTGCTCAGAAAACAAGGAGCCATTTCTCCCCTTCTCTCCAGTACTGCACAGCCCAGGAACACCATTATTGCAGCACCTTCACTCAGGGTGTGCCACCCAGACATTACATGCCCACGTGTTGTTCACACAGAGCTTCTTGGTTATTTCAACCATTCACATGTCAATTCAGCAATTGTGGGTTATCACAGATAAATCCTGCCCTGACTTTAGAAAAGACTCCCTGAAAGAACTGCTTTGTTGAAAGAAGCATCATTTCTGTGATGTCATTTATGCCTGCCTCAAAAGCAGTTCCCAGAGATTTCCTTTCCAGGTGATTATTTTCCCCACTTGTTTAGTCCCTGTTGCAGAATTTGCCAGGGCATCTTAAAGCAGAGAAGCAGATTGAAAGATTTGCTTAACATAGTCATTCCTTCTCAGAGAGTGATAGTGTGTACAGCATTTTCAAGAAGCTGATCTGTGTGAAACCTTCATGTGTTTATTGTTACCCTTGTGACTCCTGGCTTGAACTTGTCCCATGCAATTTATGGAAGACTCCCTAAAGCACAGGCTGCTATTCAGCCATGACACTGGCAGGAACTAGTTCCAGTCACAGATGCAAATAAAACAAAAATAATCATGCAAAAAACTTCACTTGGGACAGGTCTGAAGAGAGAACCTCGGTCAGTTATTTATTTCTTGGCACTGATGAGTGCCAAGGCTTTTAATTTCAATATGGGGAGAAGATTGAGAGCAGAACTTCTGACACCAATGGGATTAGACATAAATAAATTCACTCTAACCAAATAAGCCTGGGACGTCCTTTATCCCAAGTTGATTTTGCATCTTTCCTTCTCAGTATATCATCTTCAAGAGGTAGATATTTGGCATATGCGTGATACATTAATCAAAAATTTCTGCAACAGTACAGGCACAACCAACATGTAGGAAAGTGTATCACACTGGAAAACCCCACATGCCCCAACACAGTACAAAATACAGCAAAAGATTTACTGAAGTTGCAAAACCAAGATGAGCAACATCATTCTCTGGAGAAGGCAGCCCTCAGCAGAGAGTTCCTCCGGTCCCAGCCAAAGCTAAAGCAGACTACACACTGCAGCTGGTCATTAATACAAGGCTGCTCCCCAGTTCCACTGGATACCTCTGGAGATGCCACATGACACCATCCAGCACACAGAGTCTTCTTTTACAAGGCTCTATAGATTTGCACACATTGGAGCTGCCACTCAGCTCTGTGGCACAGGGGGAGGCTGCAGGGAGAGTTCCCCATCTTTGTGCTCAGTGTCCCCAGAGACGTCACTGGGATGACTGGGGGAAACCCTGGCTCACCCCAGCAACACAGACACCCTCAAAGGTGCATATACACACAGCCAGGTGCACCCCAACACGCATTAGATATTGGCATTTTTAGAATGGGGTTGCATTTATGGCCATACACTCTCTAGGAACCTGCCAGACATGCTGGGGTAAAACACGGAACCCTGGGAGCAACAGCGAGGGTCCTATGATCTCAACAGAGCTTGTCCTTATCCAGCAGAAACACATTTTTCATTGGGCTTTGGCAAAGAGAAAACCCAAACTATTTACCATTTTAATGCATTATGATAGTTGTTCTTCCCCCTTTCCTTTCCCTGACCTCACTACACACTAAGGTGAGCAGAGGGTCCCAATGCCATCCTGTCTGGCTGCACTACACCCTGAATGGCTCCATGAGCAAATGGACTAAGAGCCACTCTAGGAAAGATATTCGACCTGCAGAAAAAGGGACTGAGCACTCAGATACACTGAGGGATGCACCATTTGTATGACAGAGAAGGACTTAAAGTGCAGCAAAGCACTGAAGCTGGAAATGTAGAAAAAACTTACTTTAAGGTGCCTTACACCAGGTCATTTCCCAGTCACTGAAGATGGACAAAAAAAGGAGAAAGAAAACTAAAAAAAAAAAAAAAAAAAAAAAAAGGAAAGAAAAAAGGAACAAACCCCACAAGCCAATGAAGTTTTAAAGCTTTAAAAGCTAATTATCACAGCTTCATCCTGTGCTGGGACACTATGTACCATCCAGCTTTATTTCGCTGATGTCAAGAGTCTTTTAGTCCAGAGGATGTACCAAAAGTGATGCCTCCACTTTTTTATTGGAAACCTGCCAGGAAAGAAAATAAAAAAAACGCCCATACATGCATCTATAATAGGTTTTAGTGGGCATGAAACAAGAATAGCAAGTCAGGGAACCTTCACATTTTGCAGGAATGGAGCTTCTATTCCCTTCCACAAGTTAGACATGCTATCCAAAAGGATTTTCTCATGGGAAAAAGTAAGTAATCCGGAATGGAAATAAACTGGTCAGAGCTGATTATCTTGCCAACTTTGAGATGCCTTCAGACATTTGTTTGGGGCAACCTTGGGGAACCTGACAAAACAAAGTATTTGAGTATAAATGCAAAGCACACCATTTTGAACCCAAGGTTGATTTCTTACACATTCAACTATAAATATGTAAGCATGCATATATACACACAGACACACTACAAATAGGTGACTACTTTAAGGGTTTAAGATGGAAGGAAATGGTGTCCATATTGCACTACCCAATAAAAAAAAGTGAAAGAGGACAGAAGGAATTGAATGGCTTTTCAAAATCACATTTGTGTTTTATGATTTTTTAGTGGGGAATTTCAGGATTTTGTAATTTTGAGGAGAACATGCAGACTAAACATTGACACTCCGCGAATAAACCCTAAACAAAACCAAAAGCATTATCTGAAATCTATTATAAATAAGGCACAATCAAATTTTATTTTTAAAAAAGGATAAATGAGCTTGGTTTAAGAGTGGTTGCTTTCAGACTCACCTGCAGGCATACTTCTCCACTTTTAAATTTACAAATTTAAAACGATCTTCAAATCCAGCTCCAAATCCACTTTGACAGTTCCATCTAGATGAACAGATAAAATACACTGACCTCCCCTTGAATTAACAGAGGATATGTTAAATAGCATCTGTGGGAGGCCCCTTCAGAACAGCCATGCCAGAGAAACATACTCTATCCAAACCTTTTCCATTTAAAAAGGGCAAACAATCCCAGGGGTATAGGGGAGAGCAGGAACTATCTGTGATACCGACTAATAGCTTTAAATATAGTTTATTTTCTTCAAATGTAGCTGGCATCAAATGTCTTTCTGTTTGTAGAAAGTTCAGTGGGGTAAGAACAGCTATTTTTGGATTGAAGAAAGGTCAGTAGAACACAAGACAAGAACTGGTGTTCCAAGGCTCTTGTAAGAATGCTAAATTTGACAGGGCTTTTTAGGAAAGATGCTGGTAGGTGGCTCCATAATGATTATATGCATTGCTTGTTGATTGGCAATATGAATTTTCTACTGCTTGTAGCTGTGCTGTTGGGAATCTTTTTCACAACAAACAACTGAAAAAACCCAGCGATTTTTTTTGGGGGGGGGAAGTATTTTTGGCTTTGTTTGTTTTAAATTAAACGAAATAATATTTTAACATATCTGTGTAAATAAAGTGATAAATTTCTCCTGAAAAGCAAACAAACTAACCAAAAAAAGTTTTAACAGCAATGGATTAGGTAGTCAAGCCATGTAACTAAGGCTTCAGACACACTGCTACCTCTAAACTCCCCAGGTGCAGGAGTTAACCTCTTCTGCTCCCAGGCAAGAAGATTATGTAGCCATGCCATCCATGTTTGCAGTAGGTAAGCACAATACTGACTGTGAGGGTAGTGAGGCACAGGCTGCCCAAAGAAGTTGCGGGTGCTGCAGCCCTGGAAGTGTTCAAGGCAAGGCTGGATGGAGCTCTGAGCAACCTGGTCTAGTGAAGGTGTCCCTGCTCATGGCAGGGGGGTTGGAACTGTGATCTTTAAGGTCCCTCCCAACCCAAGCCATTCTATAATTCTAATAGAATATAAAAGTGGAAAAGCACCCTAATGTTTTGGGGTTTTTTTTCCTCTAGCAGCTTTCCACTGTCTGCTGCAGTGCCTGACTTCCCTTGGGTCCAGCTGCATGTTCCAACTAAAGAAGTCAGATGGACTTTGCTCTTGTTGGCAATCTTAAAATAAACACACACGTTGCTTACCCTTTGTAGCTGCACAATACTGACTCCAGCACTGCTGCCACTACTTCCAAAGATAGATTCCACAAGGGCAAGCTGAGTCCAGGTGATAATCTGATCCAGGTTCTCAGCAGTGCCACAGAGCTCCTCGCAAGCTGTTTCTATTTTATCTGCTCTCAGCATCCTCCCAGGGGCTGGTAAGTCCCAGCGGCTTCCTGGAGCATGGTTGTTCCCAAAATAGGTCCTCCCAGAAAGCACAGCCAACACTGCCACCCTACGTAGCAGAGAAGAGTCTTGCAATGAGGAAGATCCAGCTGACCACTTAGGCAGGTGTTTTGGTAACACAACCGAGTGCAGTTCCCACAACTGGAGAGCAGTAGCACACAGGGTTGCCTACAAGCAAGGTTTTAGCACAGACCTTCTGCTCCATCAGACACAGTGCCAAGAGCCTTCTCTATTTTGAAGTGGCTGTTGAAGGATTCAAGTGAGTTTGAGTTGCATTTCAAGTAAACTCAGCCTTTTCCTAAAACTACTTCCAGGGCTGAGCAGATAATTCTCACGGAACTCTAAAAGTATGAGGTATTTTTCCAGACTTTTAACAACTAAATTTAGATTGACGGATTCTATTTGACTTCCTGGTGCCCGTTCCAGGATTAATTACAGAGCAACCTGCATCCTCAATTAGGATGTCTGTGACTTACATTTTTGAGCTCATGAACATGAGCTGGAAGAGAGTTCTGCTAAAAACGATGCAGCCCAGGATATGGCAAGCCATTGTTGGACAGCTTTAGGTCTATTAAACAGAAATAAAGGAGAGCTGGGGGAAATGTATCATGTTATCTGTTTCTTGAGGTAACTGAAAAGAGGTTGACATTCTGCTTTACCTTAAATAAACCCAAGGAATGGAGAATTCATATGGATCACCAAACCCCACAACTGTAAACACAGTGGAAGATTATTTTTCGAGTTCAGTCTTTATCTTTGAAAGTATCTAAGACACTGGTGGTACTCTTGATCTCTCTTATGATCTTCTTGTAATCCAACTATCACAGTGGCTTTTCATCTTCTACCAAAATTTTAAAGTTTTCAAATCTTGACAGGAAGTTGGCCCTGTGGCCCTTGGTATGTGGAGAGAGATGAAAGAGGTATTCTCCAATCCTGAAATTAATGTCTATTGTTTTGTTTTCTGCAGCTAGAGAAGAGTGCACTCTGATCCAGCAGTTTTGTTTTGTTTTTTTCCAGTCCTACACTTCTATGCGCAAAATTTTGATGAAATGAAGAGATTTAGCCATCACCTTTAACTTATGCCAAAGCGTTATAGGTAGGTCTGTTGAAAATAACTGTCCATGACTCAGTGAATATAATTGTGGCTGCTATGATTGAAGAATCATCATCCTTCAGAAGCTCTGGAAGACAAACCTCAATTAAGAGTGAATGAAGCTGGTTTTTGGAACTCAACAGCAAAGAGGCTTTGAGGGTTAGCGCATCAATGGAGCACGATAATTGTTTCACTGTGCTTATTATCTAGCGCCTAAAGAAAGTGAGAACAGTCAGCTGTTAAACAAGCAGTGATAAGCTGTCAGAGCAATTTTGTACACTAGAGAAGATACAATTCTCTACAATATTGCTCCCAGAGGAAAGTGAAGTTTCAGCCAGCTAGATGCTTTGCGCATAATGGTCCAGGGGCAAAGGGGAGATGCTTTTTCTTTGCATAGTGCCAGAAAAATGAGAGGTTCCCACCCCAACTCTTCACAGTGATGTACCACAAGCTACTCCATGTCTTTGGTCTTCACAGGTGGAAGATAATCTCTACCTCTACCTGCTGTTTAACTCAGGCTACAGTTACTTGTATTTTGATTTTATCAGTAAGTATCTGAAAGTATCCCTCATACTTTCAGTAAGTATCCCCAAAAGGGAATGAAGCCAGGCTCTTCTTGGTGGTGCCAATCAATAGGACAAGAGGCAACGGGCAGAAACTGATGCACAGGAAGTTCCACCTGAATATGAGCAATAACTTCTTTACTATGCAAGTAACCATGCACTGAAACAGGTTGCCCAGAGAGGTTGTGCAGTCTGTCTCACTGGAGATATTCAAGAAGCATTTGGACACAATCCTGTGCCACGTGCTCTGGGAGACTCTGCTTGAGCAGGGAGGTTGGACCAGATGACCCACTGTGGTCCCTTCCAACTTAACCCATTCTGATTCTGTGATTTGCTGAAGCCAGTGTGATGAGCTGTGGTCCACTGAGGAGAGTGGCATTCCTCAAGCCAGCCTATTGTTGAATACTGGAAATTGAGGCTACTTGGTAACTAAAGGCTTATTCTCAATCTGTCTGCACCGAAATGCCTTGAGAACATGCAGCCACACAGGCAAAATGTAAAAATAGTAACTAGTAACAGTGACTCTAAGCTGAGATTGTTAGCATTAACACAACATAGATTATGTAAAAGTATGAACCTTTCTGAGGAATGAATGCTGCCTCTCTTTCAGCCAAAGACTGATACACATGTGGGCTTTATGCCTGCATCAAGAATCTTCCGTCCAAAAGAAACAAAGACTTTGTATGTGTAGACCTCAGCCCTGTAGCTACCCAGCACAGGGGAATTTCTTATGGATCTTGAATGAGGAAAAGGCAATTTAAGGTGCTGGGATAGACCAGAAATTAATACCCTGTGGCAGCCCTTTTTGAAACTTCTGCCATTTGTAGAGGCAAGGACCATGAATCTCTTTACTTCTTACAGAGCAGCAGAGTGATGCCTTTGGAAGGCTGTTCTCCTCCTTAAGAAGCAGAAGCATGATCTTTCTTGGGCTTTTGGGGGGGCAGGTAGATTTGGCTGAAAACACACCCACCTCAAATCTTAAGCAACCCAGAAATTTCTCCCTGCAATGACTGTCTTTCTCTCATGTGGCCTTCTGCAAGAATTATTGGTGTAATAAGTCCTGTAAAAAAAAAGTTTTGGTTTTATCCTACGAGAGATGAAATAGGAAGCATGACCTTGCATTGACTTGAGTGTACTAAACTCTCCTACTTTCAAACCCATTTTTTCCTATTTTCATATATTTGTAAAAAATGAGTTAGTCTGTAAATATCTTCTTTGTCATAAGGGTTGTAAAACTGAGTCTGATACCAACTTATTATCTGATGGTTCTGCTCTCTTACACACATCCTCTGGTTAACTGCATATATTCTTGAACTTACAGGTAGGATTAAAAAAAAAATCATCAGGATTAACTACATGTGAGATCCTGGAAACAGAGAACAGAGAAAAAAGGAAAAGGAAAGAAAGATTCACAAATGCTACACCTTACGAGAGTTTGATTTAACGAAAGTTTATACTTTTGTTTCCTTCTTCTACAGTTAAAAAAAGAACTTTTTAAGTACACAATTTAAAAACAGTGGTTTATGATTGACATGTTTTCAGTCAATTTCCTAAATAGTTTTAACAAAATCAAATACAATTCATACAGTTGCAGCAATTCAACAGTTGCATGAAGATATTTATAGTGTAATGTTCTAAGTTATGCTCTTGACTTCCCAAAACAGCTCTCTTTGACGACATAACTGATTTACGTGTCATTTGTGAAATGTGTTGTACTCAGGTGCATACCTGTTCTAGGATTTTAGGAATATTGTTCTAAGAGGCTTTACAGGAGTAAATCAGGGGGTTGGATCTAAGGCCTCTTCTTAGTAAGAATGCAGATGCCTGTTTCTCGTTGCAAAGACAGTCCCATTTCCAAATTAGCCCAATTGACAACAGCCTAACAAGAGGTAACAGAATCTATATCACACAATTTGTTATGTAAACGCTGATGTGCTGCTAAAACAACAGTGAAAAAAATACCTTTCACTAGAGGCAAAAAATCAGCTCTCTTTCTTTCCGCTTCTTTGACTTAACGAAGAGACACACACTTAACTAATTGCTTTGGCAGGCCAGCAGGCTGCCTGTGCTTAATAATACCATTAGGAATTCCACAAGTTTTCAGCTTCTAACATTATGAACCTTCAACACATGCTTTTAAAAAGTGACCCTCAGAATTCTTAGTTTTCAAAAGATGCTTTTTCTCTCATATCCCACTATTTGCTGCATGAGGCATAAAAATACACAAATATGCAATGTGCAGTCCAAATGGGGCACCTGTCTGTCCCAGGAAAACTAAATCCTTACCGAGCACTCTGATAAAAAAATTACACTCAGAGCAACTCTGAGTTCACAAATAATACTTTCCCCATATTTCTGTTTCAGGCTTGTCACACACATCCACCTGAACTTGTTCAAAGCCCAATGGCTCTTCATTTTTCAGGTCTAAGTTGTGAACAGGCATTAAAATTTCAGGTTCATACTTACAACAGAAAAGAAAGAATCTAAACACCAAATTGGGTCATATTTGCCCTTCTCCACACTTAATTAGATTCCTCCTTTTGGCTAGGGGAACACTCTTTCTAGATCTAGTAATTCGTAACAAAGCAACAAGCATTTGAAAGTTGGCTGGCTTTTATCTTGGAGCTCCTTTTTAAAAGAAAAAAATCACATAACAATTAAAGAAAAGATAATACTGCCATAATCCAACTACTTTCCTCCCCTACTTGTTTTATGCAGTAGAAAATATAATTATCAAATTCCTATAAATGGTTGACATTTTGTTTAGATTGAAAAAGGACTGGTAACCAGAGATCTAAGTGCAGAACCAGTAAGGATGTTAACATGTTCAGTCTTAAGCTGCAGCTTCCCAAACATCTGCTTGGCAGCCTAACTTTCTGTAGTAAGAGATTCACTGAGTCACAAAGGAGCTACCCATGAACACAGAGCCCTACAACATTGCCTGAACATCTGTTTGAACAGGGAAGGCTCAGCATCAGATAACTCCTGATGGCTTTTCTTCCCCTCCACTGTGCCTGAAGTCTCTGACAGAGTGAACATCCAATCCTTTTAGTCAAACCGGAAATTCTACTGATATGTTAGCAAACGCATCGCTACTCTACAGCCTCAGTGTTACAGTATGGGGGTATATCTCCTTTCACAGGAGAAAAAACCTGATGGTTCAAACTATCGAGCAGAGCTCATAAACCAAACAAACCCACAGCCATCATTAGCCAGTGTTCCCACGTCTAGACTGTAGTAGCATTTAGTCAGCTCACAATCCTTCTCCTTCTGTTATTGCCCTAATCTCAAAGGACAGCAGCCATCTTCAGGAAACAACCGCAGGCTTAGAAACGCAGCAAAAAGTACCTCTGGACACACACAGAGATGGGTAAGATGATTAGGACCAAAGAAGGGTGGAATCCAAGACAGAGTTCTGCCATTTCCACTCCATATTCACTTGTAAAGGCAGCTCTGTGACCAACATACTTTGTGCTTGGCATGACTGTTTTTGTGGTTCTTTATAGGCACTAAATGTATCTAATACATGATGCAAACCCTTGTCCATAATTTCAGATTCCGATATTAAGGTTGACATGAAATTTTAGGAGGTGTGATGCTCACAGTAGTGCTGTGAAGTCTGTCTTGGATCAGTTTCTTCTCTCACAGCCTCCAGAAAAACTAAAGATGTGGTTGGTACAGGAATGTTAGTAGATTACATGATCTGAAATGACTGGCATTTCATAGCCTCATAGACCCCCCTACTCCTTACAAAGGGACATGGCACAAAAAATATTGCAAGGAATAAGAAAAGGTTATGATGATGTGTTCACGGGAAAACGATTTGTGTACGAAGGTGAAAAAGCATCTGCTGATCAAAGTCTCTTTCATTCCCAGACCATCTTGTACACAGGGTCTCCAACTTGAATCGTTCCAGTTTTGTCAACAGCAAAGTATTTCCCAAAGAGAGGGCTGGTTTTGTAGATGTGTCGCTCGGATGGATCACAAAGGCGGTAACTGCAGAGAGAAAGCCCTTCTTTAGAATGAGTGGTAGCAAAACCTAAACATCAAAATATCAATGATGAAAGAGAGGATATGAATAATGACACCCTGTTTTGGTCACCATACTAGACTAAAAACTAAATAAATATTGTAGTTATGAGAATCAAACAGTTCAAATGGAGGGAAAAAAAGCTTGACTATCTAATATATATACAAAAAGTTTTGTAAAAATGAAAGTCAAAGTAGCAAAGTTAGACCTTTAAAATTCTTAAATACCTGTTACCCCAAGCATTCACCCTAGCAGAGATGGAAGAGATATGAAATGTAAAGTTTGCAAGAAGGAAGAGAGAACTTGAATTTTCCTAGCATACAGAATTGCAAAAAGTAGACTGGAAGCCAATATACACAGACCCTTACACTGCATGATTCTGTCCCACACACACTTCAAATCAGTTCTAAAATGCTAGTCTAACGTGGTGGGATCTAGCCTAAATCCTCTCCCACAACCTAAGAAACACTGCTATTTTTATAACCTTTTCAATGTGTCCAAAGGCTCCTTCCTGTCCAAGACTCCAGTGTCTGGGTTAACAGTTGTTAAAATACACCTGCAAAGACACACAGTGCCAAATCAGTAACAGTTTCTTATCATAAACCTCTTTGCATCTGTATAAACTAAAGGTCTCTAACATTTACCTGCCACAACACACGGTCCCTTTCATCTCCACATCACCAATAAGAATATCCTCCCAGGTGTCCTGAGGGAAGGTAAACATTGGGCACAGATTAGACACGCCCACAACATGCAATCACTTTTCCAGGAGCGGCACAATCATTCATAAAGCTGCATCATTCGAGATGCTCACCTTTACTTGTACCTTCAAAATATGCACAGTTATATTACAGCATTATTTTAATGAAAACTTTATGGTCAGTGCATTTATCCCATTTCAGGGTATTTATCCCAATTCAGGACCAACTAATAATTATATCTGAAAAGAATGATATACAAATAATGAATCTCGTTCTGCAGTGTGCCCTTCTCTGAAGCATTGAACCTAAATCAAGTTTATTCTTATTGTGTGGGTGATAACCTGATCTGTGGCCTCTGGCAAGTCACCATTTTTGCAGAAAGGAAATTTTCAGTGGAAGTAACTTTTCGCTTCTCATCTACACAAGCTTCCTATTGCAATCCCTCTTGGGAGACAGAGATCTATTCCCACTTCAGGAACTTTTTAGATTTGAGAAATTATCAGATCTATCCAGAGGAAATTTTTTTTAAAAATGGCAACATGACATAAAAACCTGTAAATGCCACCATTACCAGTTCATTTCATCACCTGATACCTTCCTAAATAGTGTTTTTTTGAATTACCAGAATATTGTCAGAGATGCAGTGATGGACTGCAGTATTGCAAGGGTTAGTTCTACTCTTGTGCCAAAGGCCATTTAAAAAATATGACACTGACAATTTACAAATTTGTATCATTAATTGATCGATTACAGTATGCACAGCTTTGCCTACTTTACATCTAAAGATGAACTTTCAGTGGCAAGCCTGTCATTTAAACACATTTATTTTATCCTTTGCTAAGCTAAATAATACTTCACAGACCTGCTTCCTCCCTCTGTGTTTCGTGGGCACTGATGTGAGCAGAAGTTTTATCTCTCTGGAATTCAGTTGTAAAAATCACAGAATAGCAGCTTTCCTCATCTTCAGAGCACCACCACACAAGGAAACTGAGCTACAAAGAAACATAACCAAGTCTTCAAAAGACATTTAAGACAGTAATTTTACCTCCTCAAAAGCACTGCAGTCTGCCACAAGAATATTTGGCCTGAAGTTCTGTATCTTAGCTTTCTTTTCCAGCCTTGTATTTAAATCATCCATTGAAGCTTCAGAGAGGAGCAAGACTGGGCTGCAGTCAGGATAGGCAACCTACACAAACAAACATAAACAAATCCTAAGGTTGCTGTAAAAGCACAGGAGAAAAGTTATGGAATGGCAAAAGGACAGGTGTGTTGGAACCAGTGGCCACATATTAGCCTGTTGGGCTGCTCCATTCAGGTTTTCATTTTCCTGGAATTAGGTTAACAAGGGAAACAACATGCTCTTTCCTATTTCAGTAACCACGGTGAGTTTCATTTGCTCAAATTGTAAAATTAAACTTCTCCCTACAGAATTAAACCAAATTATATAAGCTACCACAACTCCTTACAAAGTAATACCATATGCATGTCCCAGATGCTTATTCCAGGTGTTACAGACAGAATCAAGCATTTCAGTAAAACATGTTATGGTAAGTTATGAAAGATACTCAAGACATTTATAGACCTGCTGAACTGATCCAGTTGACTATAATGAACTAACTGGATTTTTCTAACTAATGAATCTGCCTTATCACAACCCCAGGAGGGAGTTCCACATCCAGAACAGCAATACTCAATTACAACTGTCCATTTGTCAGTCTAAATTTGCTTGACAGTGGAAGGGTTGCCATATTAGCAAACAAGGCCGAAGAAAAGTATTCAAAAAAAACCCCAAAAATCCTAAGAGTGGACTTCCACAGGAAAAAAAAAATAATTTTTTTGGCAAGAATTTTAATGTATAGCACTCCTGTCTTTCTTTTATATTATTCTTCCTCCTATCCTTGTACATGCCCTTCAACCATCACATGACGACTGCTAAAATAATTATACGAAAAATTCTGTCCTTTTTTCATGCTAGGATTCCTGAATGTCAGTCCTCCTAATCTCACATCCCTTTTGCTGAAACCTAGTCTTCTGTATGGATCTCAGTGTCCTTACGTAGTAAAAGCATATCTATAAGTCTGTAACTGAATACACCTCCTTCTCTTTGTGCAACAACAAGCAAGACACTGATGCCATACAAATAATAACATCAGTAAGACAAGGTACTCACAGTTTTAATTTGTTTAAAAACCTTACACTCATCAGGGACAGTTCAAACCACCTTCACTTGAGAGAGTTGTTCAAACAAAAAGAAGGGCATCAGTGACTCAAATGACATGAGGATATCCGAGCACATCTCCTTTCCATACCTGCATTAAATTTCTCTAATATCACACCTTCGAGCCTCTTCCCACAGAAGGAGATGAAACTTCTGTAACCTTCTTTGGATTTTATCTCCTAGGCCCACAGCTATAAGGCCCTGGGTTAAGTATCATCCCTTTAAACCAAATATGAAGTACCAACTTGTATCAGTACACTCTCACAACTAACAAGGGATAGGGAATGGAGGCTTTCGATGCAACACAGATTACACCATGGAAACATTAAAAATGTAACTTTTTTTCTATTCACTGAGACACGAAAGGTTCCTCTTCAAATATCAGACTCTTTAGCTGCAAATGGTCAACAGCTTAGAAGTAAAATTTAAGCAAGTCACCTCACCACAGAAAATGAGAATACTCACATGGTTCAAGTACGTGATTACACACCTTGCTAAACTGGGCTCAATCACCAATGGTGGAACAGGCAAGTTTTGGTGGGTGGGTGGGAAGTGGTTAAAAGGAAGTACTTCTGAGAAAAAGAACATTTATTTACCTCATCAGTGCTTCGGAAAAGGTTTATTGTATTCTTTGACTTTCTTGGCACCATGGAGGGCTCAAAGTGCACCAGTCGATAGGGCTGGGATTTCAGGAAAGTGGTGATCCACTGAGCCACTTCATCACCACAGTCCCTGCCTTGGATATCCTGTCCAAACACCCTGAAAAGTAACAACACATCAGCAAGTTAGCTGGAAAGATGAAGGCTCAATGATGCTTATTATTTGAAGGCAAACAACATCTTTTAATAGTAGTAGCAATATACAGAAAACAAATCCCCTGAATTATAACAAGCTGGAGGTTGGTTTCAAAATCTGGCACAAGGATCAATCCCAGTGTTCAATCTCCTTGTGGCCACCATGTTTTGGAAAGCTAAGTAACATGGACATGGCTGGACAATACCAGTTGGTGAATTAAGCCTTGAAATAGCCTTAAGGTGCCCACAGCTGACTGTCACATCAATGACCAGTAACAAACCCACCTGTTTGCCAGGTCTACTCTTGCATTTGCATGTGACTGCAACACCAAAAGATTTCTACCAAGAAATCAACTGAAAGGTAATTAATTTCAGAAAATAAACGATAGTTTGAAAGGACATTATTAGTTACCATAACTGACATGTACAAGTGTTATTAATTGTAAGTGTCCCTAATTGTGATGGAAACTTTCCTTCAGATTTTAGTGCTGTTAAAATTTAGCTAGAGGTGAGTGAAACCTAAGCTAAAACTTCACATATAAAATAAATCAGTATCTTATGAGAGGTTAAAAATTTATAATGGAAACAAAGTCCATGGCACACAAAAGGCCAATGGCACCAGAATACAAACAAGTTTACACAAGGAACACTTTCCTGGCAAGAAAAGGCAGACCTCAACTCAACCTTTCAATAAACTTCAACAACAGTCATGAATAGTTTTGTTGCTTTCTTCCAAGTAGCCGTTTTGATCCAAATACACTGCAGTTTTAAGAAATACCTCTGGAATCATATCCTGGACAGCTTAAAGCACAGACATGCTCACACAGTTCATCCAGAGTTAGCCCCTAGGAGCCCTCCTCTACTCATCAGGGGGAGAGATGAACCATTAGGGTGCTGGCAGCAATATCCCTGCTCCATTTGCTGGGATTCCTGCATCTACTCTGCAACACAGGCTGGGATTAAATGCCATTGCCCCAGACAGCAATCTTTCTTACAGCTTCCAACACTAATGTTTTCCACTCACAAAGCAGATCTATCCTAAGCACTCAGTGGTTTAGGGATCCCATAGGAATGGATCATGCAATTGAAGTGTTACAGACATTGGGCACAAATGAAAAGCACAAGGTTTCTTAACCAGAGTGCTACAGAAACCCTCTAACATTTGCACAAACAGAAGATGCCTATGCACTGGCTTCAGTGTTGCATTTGACTCTCCCAAAGATAGGATTTTAATTATCCACATGAAATTTGCAACTGGAGTTAGCAGATTTCAAGACTGGCATCTGCAGAGCCCTATGCAGCTAGGGGGACTATTGCACTGCCTTGGCTCCAAACCACGAGGCACGAGCCAGCACCCATGTGAAGGCATCGTGCTGGCCCAGGGGTGGAATACACATAAGCCTGTGCAGGGCCAGCAGAGTACACTGTGCAGCAAGACAGCTACTCACACTCACATGCTGGAAGGGAAGAATCTGGGAGCAAAACCCAAATCTTCATTTCTCTGAACACAGTATTACTCCCAAACCTTGTTCTTACAGATGGATCGGAAAGAGTCAGCCTTGAGCTGACAAATGGCAAATTGTTTAAGCACAGCAAGAGTCACACAAACCCTTAGGATCCTTCCCGAGAAGTACAAGGCAATGTTCCAACTATAGGTGTTCCTAATTTCACATCCTATGACACCACCTACAATGCCAGACAACTTCGTAATTCTTAAAGTCCGCTTACATGCATTTAACTTTTGATCATTTGGATTCTTAAATTCTAGCAGTTTTAAAGGCAGAGAGTGCAGGTTTATTAAGGCAAAGAAAGAAAAAAAAAATCAGAAGAACAAATCACCAAGCTCTAAAATTGGAAAATCCAAGATAATTCTTCATTACTGAAATCTATTAGACTATTTAAATACTTTTCTAATGGCACAACAAAGTTTAGAAAAATAACACCTTGAAAACTGCATGTTTTTGTAGTGCATGCGTCATTGACACATATAGGCAATGTACATACTTTTTAAAAAGACTGTTCCATTTCTCTACCATTTGTTACTTGCACCTGCCTTGTATAAACAGAGATACTGAGCTTTGCTGATCAAGTGTTTCCACAGCAACAGATTTATGCAAAAAGCAAGCAAATGCAGCTCCTTGCCAGCACTTTTAGTTTTAGTTATAGCAGCTGGTGCATTAACCATCTCTGCTATCCAAAGGACAAACACTGACCAATATCTTTGTAGGGGCTAACACTATTTACAGTTATTAAATACTCTTACATATTAGCTGACATTGTAGCAGAGAAAAGATTTTCCGGCTCCCCCTGATAATTTTCCAGCATGGATTTCAATACACAGATAAAACAATTAGGCCTGGAGCCATACAACAAAACTCTAAGCACAGAGCTAAATCACTCTTTGTAACCCATCCACCTGAAACTCCTTTGAGGTAGCAACTACAGGGAATGCCTTGGTCTCCAGGGATGCCTGTCTTTCCTGTGACCACAGGGTGAGCCTTGGGCAACAAAGTTTTTAAAAGAGGCACCTCAGTTAAATGCCTACAGACAGGGGTGAGGGAATCTAAAATCCCTCACCAGCTCACCAGCTCTGAATGGCCAGCATGCATCCAAAAATGCTGATGCAGATTTTAGCTGTGATCAAGAAATACCAAAGGGCATGACTGAGGCTCTGAGATGCAACTGCTTACCCAAGCATAAGTGAAAACACTAGAAGTAAAAACAAATGAGCAAACATAACATTCTATGAAGATGAAAGATCACAGTTCATTTGGCTAATGTATAATGCATGGTCTTTGATACTGTGTCATCATTTCCTAAGATTTGTTTTCACTAGTGTTTAGCAGATTAAAACCAAATCAATGCTGGCCTCCTGTGTAACACACAGGAGAGAATTTCACAGAATCACAGAACAGTTTGGATTAGAAGGAACCTTTAAAGATCACCTAGGACAACCTCCCTGACATGGGCAAGGACAACTCCCACTAGACCAGGTTGCTCAGAGCCACATCCAGCCTGGGCTTGAACACTGCCAGGGATGGGGCAGCCACATTTTCTCTAGACAACATGTTCCAGTGCCTCACTAGCCTCACTGTAAAAAATGCCTTCCTTTTATCTAATCTAAATCTACCCTCTTTTATTTCAACACCACTACCCCTTATCTTGTCAGTGCAGGCCCCGGTCTGAAGTCTCTCTCCATTATCCAGATGGGGAGACACACCCCCATAGAAAAGATGCAAAAGCACCCAACTTTCACCCTTCAATTTCTGCATTAGAAAATGCAAAGCCTCACACAATCTTGAAAAGCAAAGTATGTGAGAAAGACTGCATTTAGAGAGAGGGGAGGGGGCCAAAAAAATCTTCTTCAGTACCTGCAGTTGTGGACGGAGTTTTTCCTGGGGACATTCACAGGCAAGCACAGCTTCTCCATGTCTGGGGCCTCGAAGGTCAAGTGCCCGTTGTCACAGCCGACAGAAACGAGGACGAGCCGCGGCTCCTGGCGAGCCGTGACCATGTGCCCATCCTCCGTGATCACCATCCAGAACCTGCGGCGGGCCGGGGGGACAGAAACGCGTCCGACGGCGTTAGTGGCGGGCACGGCAGCACCCGCGGCGCAGCAGGTGCCTCTCCCCGGGCCCCGAGGAAAGCACCCGACAAACGGGGAACCCCGCGCCCCGTCCCGCCGTACCTGTCCCGCATGTCCCCGCTGCGCAGCCCCATGGGCGTCACCTGCGCCCGCCGCACCGACACCCCCTTGCACGACTTCACCGGGTACACGAAGAGCCTCAGCACCGTCCCGACCCGCTGCAAGCGGCGGCGGCGGCGCCGCCCGGCCCAGCGCCAGGCTCCGAGCAGGGCGCCCAGCGCCAGCAGCGCCGCCGCCCCCCACACCCAGCCCGGCCGGGCCGGCCCCAGGGAGCCTCGCAGGCCGCTCATGGCGACTGGGCCTCGCCGCGGCCCCTCCGCGACCGAAAGGGCCGTGGGCGGAGCGGCCCCGCACCGCCCCCTGCGGCCGCCCCGGCCCCTCCTGGCGTGACGGGGCTGGCACCGGCCCCGCGCTGAGGGGGCAGCGGGGCCGCGACCTTCGCTGGGAGAAGGAGCGCGGAAAATAAAGGGCTGAGCGTCCGGCTCGGCAAAGCGCCGGCAGGGGATGCGTTTCTTCTGATACCCGGGCTTTTATTAGAAGCAGTGCCACAGGAAAAGTGCGGGCTGCGTGGAAAAACACGGAGCGCGTCAAATTGGCGCGTTTGGTTTGACTCGGAGAAACGGGGAACGGATGGACGGATGGAGGCGAAGAACTGGTGCGACGAGCAGCCTGACGTGGTGGGCACCTGATGTGGAAGGGGTGTCCCGAGGCGTTCTGCTGCTTTGGGATATATTTGGGATATATTCACCACTGCCCTAGCTGCTTGGTACTAAACTCGTGAGACCCTCTCCAAGAGCTTCCCTCCTGTTGGCAGGGTCGCAGGGAAGTGATTTTGTGGGATACCCAGCTGCAAGACAAATATGACATAAAATACAGGCTGGAGTGGAGAACGCTGCTGTCACCACAGGCCTCTCCTCATAGGCAAAGCAAGAGCCTTGGCTGCTGTTTTACCCCAGCTCCTCCATTCAGGCTTGCCAGGATCTGGAGACCAAACTCCCAAGTTGAAATCAGTGTGCTGAGACTAAAGCCCCAGCAGGTGGAAAGTGGGGAAGCTTCGTGTTGGGCATTTCTGAAAGATGCAGACAGCTCAGCCATCCTGCACTACTTTACATACCACATCAAGAGCATCTTGGCGGACAGGAATCTTGGAGATGTGGCTGTTGTGGGTCTCTCTGACAACAGGGGTGTGTGGGCAGCTAAGCCAGGAGTGCTCCTCGCAGCCATCTTGTCTCAAGAAGTGGGCTTGATCACAGGCCAGGATCAGAAAATATTCCTGCTAACTGGAATCACTGTAGCTGGCAAAAAGTGATTTGAGACAACCTGCTGGTGGATGAAGACAAAGTGATGAATGTCAGAAGCAAAGGCAGTGACAGTAGATCCATATGTACTGGCAAGACCTCCAAAACCCTGATCTTCCTTATGGGCAAGAAGGGAGTCCGCAGAGGAGTCCTCAATTAAAAGGACCAGGATATGACTGTGGACATGAAAGCGTGACACAAAAAGTGCCAAAAGAATCAGACACAAAAGAAAAGACACAAAAGAATCAGACATCTACCTGAGCACAGAGAAGGGAAATCAATCTGCTTTTGTTGTAGATGTCTTTGCCTGCTTCTTTCAGGTGAGGGGTGCTGGGCAGGGAGCAGTGCTGGGACACTAACAGCCCACCTGACCATCTGTGGTACAGAAGAGAGTAACATGTACATTCCTCATCAGGATGCTCGGTTTTACTTGAGCGATTTCCCAGCCATCTTGGGTGGTTGCTCCATGTTATTTGCATTCTACTGACTGATCTTGGTTTGAAGGTCTCTAGTAACATTAGCTTTGGGAAAAGGGAGGAGGGAGGGCAATCCCTTTGCCCTCTTGTTCACCACTTTGCAGTTTAAATCATACCCTAATGCCAGTCATGGGTTTTGAGACCTTTCTCCATCTCAGGTAGACCATGACATTAAGGATAAGCAAGACTTGTGTTTATTTTGAATTTATTCCTGGAACAAGCCCAGTTTATTCTGGAGATTAGCTACTGATCAGCAGAGCCTTGTGCTGCTGTTGGACTGGGCAGGGGGGGCATGTGCAGAGACAGTCTGCCACCTGCTTACCTTCCACATCACTTGAAACCCCTTCTTATGCTACTTTACTGAGATAATTTCTTTTTTATTTTTTTAATGAGACAAGTTACCTGTCTTGCATTTGCGGCATGAGGATCTTCTGAGGGTTGCTTCCTTTCTATCCTGCTCAGTCACACTGCCTGGCCTCAAGATCACAGGTCCCTGTAAGCTGGCCAGGGCCCCCAGGAGGATGTGGGATTCTGTCAAACACCGCAGATTTCCCCCTCCATTCTCCAGGACAGCCTTCCTCTCTTGTTCCCTCTTGTATCCATAAAAGGACAGTCTGAAATGAGACAGAACTGGTGCACTTGAGATGGGACCGATGCAGGAAGACCCGAGGGGCATATCCAGCAGGGCTGATCTCCACACACACTTGCTCCATTGCTCCTGGCAGTCGTGGAATCTGCCCACCAGCAAGCCCAAATCCATCGCATGCTATCCCACTGCAGTACAGACAGGCTGTGAGCACTCACCGTGGTGAGACACTCTGTCCTCCATACCCCTGAGACCCCCATATTGCTCAGGTGAATCATAGGTGCTGCACTTCTTGGTCTGGTTTGACCAGACCTGCCCCATCACCTTCAAATCATTGACCCATTGAATCAAAAATAATTACTTGTGATGACCTGTGTGACTCCATCACAGACATGAGAGGAAGACAACCATGCTGAGAAGACTGAGAGCCCTCAAACACTCTTTGTAACCATTAATCTTCTCATTTAACATGGAGTCTATATGTTGTTGAAATTAATTGAATTCACACAGAGAGCTTTAATCTGCAACTGCACCTACAGGAGCAGAAAAATACTGTAAGGGGAACCAGGCACCTAATATATTAGCAAATGTTCAACAAAACTGCAGTGACTGTCTCATAAGCAGTGCTTGCAAGCATGAATCAAAGCATATTAAGGTAAGTACTGAAGAGATTAAAAAAAAATCCCACAAACTGGTTTTAGAATCTAACCAAAAAAAGTGATGGATCAAATGCAATAAATGAAAAAAAAATTAATTGGCCACTCCTGACAAACATTAATACTTATTTTCATAAGCTTAAGGCAAAAGTGAGTCACTAACTCCTGTGATTTCTTGAGCACTGGCAGTATTCTCCACTGTGTAGATTACAAAATGCAGAAAGATTCTGCTCTCCAAACTTCTGTCTATGAGGAATCAAAACAACAGAATTTGGGATAAGAGGAAAAAAAATGGGTGATTCACTGTAGGAGCAGGTGTTCAGCAAAAAGCCTCAGAGATAACAATGGAATTCAGCAAGAGACCCTGGAGCCTGAGCAAGAGAGAAAAAGAACTGCTAACTCCACCAGAGTGAGACCGTGCCCCGTATGCCTAAGACAAGAAGCAATTCTGAGGCCAAAAGACTGTTTATAAACTCTTTATAATAGTTCCATTTATGGACTATATTGGTCAGTTAACTAATGGTAAGAAGTATGTTTGGTTCGTGAAGAGTTTGAATAGTTTGAAAAATGTACAGGTGTGTGACAAAAAGTTCCGTGCATTCCCCTCATCCTGTAGTCTGTATATCCCTCTGCCAAGTATGATAAATTGTAGCAATCACATTTCATAAAAGTTTTCTCGGGATTCAGCTAGATGAGCTAAAGCAGAGCTACACTGTGTCCTTGTGGTATCTTTTAGGCCTCATAATTCACTGCTTGCTTGCTTTATCTGGGTGCCAGAGAAAATAGGTTTGGTGTGTATATATATTTTACCAGCATAAAGTAGGGAGAAGTAGGGACTTGTATAGTTGTGAGAAGCTACAGCTCCTCCGTAGTTACGCATTACCATAGAATCATAGAACATGCTGAGTTGGAAGTAACCCATCAGGATCATCAAGTCCAACTCCTAGCCCTGCACAGGACACCCCAAGAATCACACTTGATGCCTGAGAGCATTGTCCAAACGCTTCTTGAACTCTGTCAGGCTTGGTGCTGTGACCACTTCCCTGGGGAGCCTGTTCCAGTACCCAACCACCCTTTGGGTGAAGAACCTTTTCCTGGTGCATAACCTAAAACTCCCCTGACACAGCTTCATACTCTTTCCTCATGTCCTGTCACTAGTCACGAGAGTGAAGAAGAGCTCTGTACCTACCCCTGCACTTCCCCTTGTGAGGATATTGAAGACTGCATTGAGGCAGCACAGTGGTGTACACAACCAGATTATTTTAGTTTGAAGGACTTGTTAACTAAATTCAGAAATAACTCACCTTTGCCAACAATTGGATATTAGTTAAAAGAAAAAATTATTTCTAAATCCAAGAAGGACCTTAAACTTTCATTTCCTAGATTGACTGACCTGGAGTCTGAGGAGATTTTGTTCAGACCAGCCCCAAATAGCTGCTGTTGCATTCAGCCCTAATTCTTGGAGAATATGGTGAGGAGCTTAAAGAAATACCAGAAGGCAGCGGCGTCTGTATAATCTCTTGTTTCTTGCTGTGATACAAGGAATTTAAAATCAGAAATAGCTCCAGAGAGCATGGTTGTGGCTAAACATTTCAGGTCTCAGATTGCAGGCATTGAGAAAAGCCCTCTTCACTCATGCACCAGGCACCTCTCCAACAGCCTCCAGTAAATAGCTTGACCAGCAGGTTTGTTTAATCCTTCATCCCAGGCATTCCTGTGCTTACCTAGAAGCCACCAGGCCACATTGCCTTCTGCTGTTAGGCAATGTGAATTGAGCCACTCTGACAAAGTGTAGGTACTGGTTTTGTTGCAATCCAAACACAGCATCTAGTGTGATGGAATTGTATTTGTCGTAGCCAGAGCAGGCACAGTATTCCTGCACTTAAAAAGAAATGACTGTGTTTTCAATTCCTTCTAACTAAACTTCAGGACAGTTGTGCTGAAATTCCCCGCACCAGGTTCTTGCCTCAGGTTCCTTGAAAGGTGTCTGATCAGATGAAGGATTTGCAGTGTCAGTCTTGCAGCAAACTGGGGCCAGGCTCTCTCAGTCATGAGAGTGAGCAATGATGACCTATCTTGAAAAGGCATTGTGTTAACTCAGAAGCACAGAACAAATTTTCAGGTGGAATAAATTTTACAGAAAAAGTAATGACATATCTGCCTGAAGGGTGATTTGAGATAATTCTTCTACAGGCAAATCTAGACTCCCTTGTAGCAGTGGCTCAATCAGATGTCTAAGATGAATGAGGAGGAAAGAGCTGAAGAATTTTACTTGTTTCCATTAAAAAA